CTGAAGTTAATTGACAATAAAATACGATATTTATTTTAATAAATACTGCGGAAGATTAAATAAGATTAGTATAGAGGCACTTTAGTCATCACATATCTATCTTTATTGAATACTGACCTGTAATAAATGTTGTCTCAAATATTCCATTAAACACGGATTGCATGCTCTCTAACATGATTGAAGACAAGCTCAAATAATATTATGAAAGGTACTACAGAATTCTTTGTAAGTGAAAATTGCTAATATTTCAGGTTATTAAGTATTTTATGTTACCTAATTTTTATTATCTATCCATTCTGTTTTTTGCCTATGAAGTAAAAATGTCTATAAGATTTTGGAGTCACAAATTACATTCTATCAAGTCTAACATCTATCTATAACGCAATATTGCCAGAAAACAACAAATGGTTGGTATAATAAACAATAAGATAACAAATTAAAAATAAAAAAATGATAGTATATACATTTTCAATATTTTTTAATAAAACCACATCGTTATATTTAATTTTTATTAATTCTTATAGGTTCAAGTTCAACATAATTTAAGATTTAAGTTTAAATTTTTCTCATAAAGTTATTTTTTCAATAAATAAATCAGTTAAAATCTCCTCTATACTGGCTTTTTCAAAATCTAGTTTAAACAGTACTTGGAAATTTATTTTGAAAAAGTTATTTATGTCATAGGTCAAAATCAACTTGCAAGTAATATAGTACGTATAATAAAAAACAATCATATGTATTAAGCGATGTTATAATTGAGATATATATGCTTTCATTATTTATTATAAAGATCATTTTAATATATTCCTAATATTATGATACAAATGATTTATGACAAAATTCGTAGGTATTTAAGATTAAGATATGAGTAGAATCTGTAGGAATAAATAGTTCCAAAAGCGATAAGACAAAAAATTATACTTGAATATTACCAATCAAGTTCGGCGATACAAATCTATATCTGAGACTTGTATAGCAGTGTTGAAACATCAAAGTACTGTCATCAAATAAAAAATATAAGCTCTTGCTTTATGTGAACATTCATCACAGAAAACATAGAAGCAACTTGAGCAAGCTGCAGGATATTTGTCTTCGACCTACGCGTTTGGTATTCAGTATTCATTGCACTTAACTCGATACACTGTTTGTAAATATTTCAGGAAGAATATAATCTTTCAAAAGTATTTATTTAAATCAAAAATTTTAGTATAGCGTTAGTTTCAACCAAATATCAAAAAAAAATATTTGCATCAATAATTTCGTCACGTGTGAATGTTCTATGTCATCTCAATAAAAAAGTTCAGTAAGTGCAAATTTATTGCAAATATATGAAATATGTATATTCGTTTAGCTTTTTCAATAAATGTAACAATCATTAAAATTTCGAAACAAACCGGTCTCTTTAATAATATATTAAATACTAGAAACAAAAAAAGTGGTGCATGGCATCGTGCCCTCGAAGAATTTTAAATGTTTTCAAATAGATTATTATAACTATTGTAACTTTCTTTATTCGTATTTTATATACAAAATATAAATTGGACGACATGTTTACTTAAAAACTAAATTAACAAACTGATTTGATATTAAAGGATATTATCTCATATTTCATGATTACGATTTGAATGTTTTTTTAATCATTTTAATCGGATAGCTAAAGCATCATCCTGTGTTCTCTCAAAAACTTAATTTTCATTTCTGCACTCTTTGCTTCGTATTTCGGAAACCGACCCTTCTCAAAAACTAATCAGCAGTGATCCCAATAAGTAGGAATCGAATGCTTTTTGTATCATTCAAATCGGTGCTCCCAAAAACGTCGATGAAAAATTGTATCCACATATACATACATACACACGCACACATTCAGGCATGCTAAAACGCTCAGAAACCTCCGAAACGTAAAGATATGCAAAAATTTGCTATTTCTATCTTTGAACGATTACAATAACTTACCCTATGGAAGTTAAAAATGCAGAAATGAGTATTTATTATTGAAAACATAACATTTTGTAGTTATTGTGACAATGTACTGTATGACTTGTTTTTGGAAGGCAACCCAGTAGTTGTTCTATCCTAGTTGAGACTACTAGCTGCATATCGTTTATTTGCAGCTAGAGCCACAAAAGACAATTTTCACTTGAGATTATATTTGAGATGGTGAAAGTTTGATACCATGCAATCTGATATCGAGTTGACCGAGGTTAGGATTGAACGTCCTTATAATCGACAGGCCGCGATGGGTTCAGCCTCAATAATGTAAAATGCGAAAAAACCAAATTCGAAACAGTTATTTTTATATTATTTTCATACGTGTGGTCTGATCATAGTTTTTGTTTTGTGATTGTTTTTTACCATATATTACAAATTGAAATAACATCTAACTGTATCTTTAAATAAAGTGTTCTTAGCAACAATAAGAAATTGTATTATCAATGGCAGTGTACTGAATTTCTCCAGTACGCGTACGTGCCATTACATATAAAATGTACCACGTATTTCCGTATGTCTAAATCTAAATAGATACCGCTTTCATTCTAATAATATATATGTATCAGTATTCAGGATTTAGATTAATAGAGTATTTGGAAGCTCTTGATTTACAATCTTAATGATTTATGTTTGGCATACTATATATCTTGGCCATCTAAAAGGAGATTGTTAGTTTAAAGAAAATATTAATTTGAAGTTAGCTAACTGAATGAGATTAAACATTTCGGTTATGTAGAGAATATATATATATATATATATATATATATATATATATGTATGTGTGTGTTTGTATGTATATAACATTCGCTGCCATACTGATAAATTTCCTAATGTTAAAGAAGTATTTTTAGTTTTGCATGCAAGTAAGCTATGTCGAAGTTGACATCTTTAGACATAACAGTCTAAATTTAAGTTTGTGAAAAAATTATCTGAATTCTGAAGCAAAAATTACAATCAATATTACATCAGATTTGAGTAAATAAAATAATACAAGCAGATCATAAACTCCTACTGAAAAAGTGATCGATTCGCGTATCAAACTCCAAATAAAATTTCAAAATAAATTATATTTATACTTGTTTATCTATTATCTAGCGAGGCTTAAAATTCCGCGGGTAAAAAGATCTACCACTGATATAATAAAAATCAGCAAAGTTAAGAATTTTTCAACAACAATATTTGAAAGTAGAGGGAAAAAGATGCATAATGAAGAATTAGCTGAGAGCCTTACTAAAAATAGTCAAATTCTTATATGTGATATGTGTTATTTGATGTGATATAATTGGTTTGGTTTTCACAATATAATCGCTCAAAATCTATTTGGACCTTTGTGTCTTGCCCTACCCTATACAATTATTAACAAAATTATTGTTGTCAAATAAGTTTTATTATATACAATTATTAACAAAATTATTGTTGTCAAATAAGTTTTAGAATATACCTATTTTAGAAAAAAAATACCACTTGTTTTTTCCAGAATTGTTTTTATATAATTATGAAAAAAATAATTATTAATATTAATAGTAAATAAATAATAAAGTTGTGATTTTTATTCAAAATTTCAATAATTTACAACAATTTATTAAGAATGAAACTCAAAGCAATTTATTTATCGTGTTTTAAGGCTTTTAATTTAAATTGATAACTAAAAAGTTTAACAAACATTGTGAAGCACAGATAAAATCATTTTTTGAAATAACAGCTGCGTTTAAAATCAAATAGGTGCATTTTCATATGTCAATATGTTTCTTTCAATTCAATAAAAATACGAAACATTTGTTTTCTGTTTGCTAGCATATTTTTAAAATAAGTTTTATTTTCAACTCGCCTGGACATAAAAATAACTTTGATCTGAATTATGTTTGCTGTATATATTTAACTGCTCGATCATTGACATATCCGTATTGACATGTCTCTGTAGGACACGATGTAAAAAAAAGTTTGAAAAAATATATAAATTTTTTAAATTTAGGTGATGGCAGGGCACAGAAGTCCAATTTAACTTTGAACAATTATATTGTGAAAACCAAACCAATTATATCATAATAAAAACCACATATCGAACAAATAACTATCTGACTATGTTCAGTAACAAACAAATGTGTGTGTTCAGTAAAACTCCCAGTTAATTCATCAATGTAGAAATGTGTTTTATTTACTGTTTTTCTAAATATTTGCCAGCTGGTCCTTTTTACCCCATATGCGATGTAAAACGTAACGGTTAGGGGGCAAACAGGTCCTAAGTCGTATTTTTAACTAAAGGGATTTTACGAAATGAAAGCTACATTATTCAACCAACGCAAAATATAAATTTTATCTGATAACACTGGTAATATAACCTTGATCTGGTATTTCGTCAGAAATATTCATCAGTTACCAACCAAAAAAATAATAACAAAAGAAAATACTTTTGATATGGTTTTTCGAACATTGTCGTTTATCACCCAACAGTAAAGCCGTAAGAAACAAGGCTGGTTATACTTTTTCCCTGTACTTTCAGATATTATTGTTATAAATTTTTTAACTTTACTTGTTTTTGAGTGTTGCACCTATTTTTCCGCGGATTTTTAAGCCCTGGTCTGTGCTATATATATAACTACATTATTTTGTCATTTTACGTACCAAAATTATGTTCTTTGGCTCTTGCTAAATATCTTATACTTTATACTATCTATAATTTTGAGTTTCATGAATAAATTAAGAGAAAACCATAATATTAGTGTGGCTTCCTGTATTCTGCTGCAATCGATCAGGGCCGTCTCCATTACAGAACATAACAATATATAATATATAACAATAAGAATTATAATATTCTAATTTCATACAATCTTTTTGATATTGATTTGGATTTTAAGCATAGACCTTATAATAAATGTATGTATTCTAAGGTCTAAGATTATTAGTCGACGGCCTACTGTTTCCCATATTCATAATCGTGCTTACGAGCCGTTCATATACTCATTAAACATATTCATTTTAAAAAAATTACAACTTGTTAAAGTGCAACTTGCCTGCTTCGTAGTGTTCTTCAAGTATTCGCCAGTGTCGTGCATGATGAAGAGAATATCCTGCCACAACTGCAAAAAATAGGGCGCAGACAATGATAGCCATAAGGAGCACTCCGGCTTCCCAATCCCATTTCCAATCTGCAAGCTCAGACATCTCCTGCAAAAGCAGATACTTTTTATAAAATCATAAAACGTTAAGGAATAAACTAATAAATTGAAAAGCACAATATCAGACAAATAGATTAACCGACAAGTGTTTCTCTAAATGTTTCAGTAGGTAGGTTTATGAATATAGCATTTAAATAATACACGCTTTCTTTTCTTCGAATTCGACCAATTGAAATTGCAGGAAATTGAAATTTTAAACAAATATAAAAAATATGTTTGGAACAAAGAATTAAGCCAAATTACTATTTCCTGCCCAATGTTATATTTAAGGGGCACAACTAGTGTAAAATTTTCAAAAAATCGAATTTGCAATTTTTCCATATTTCGATAGGTTATACCTTTAAAAATAACATACCAAAATTTTAAATCGATATCTTAAATAGCTTTTGAGTCACAGCCATTTGAAGAGTATATATATAGTATATAGTACAACGATCATTTTATTTTAGCATTTTACGAATTTGCTGCAGTTATTACTCAAAAACAAATGAACCGATCACTATCGAATTTTTTTGTTCTATACATAGTTCTTTGTAAAATGAACTATCGATTTTTCGATCGGATCAAAAATCGAATTTTGGCAGGCCAAAAACGACCAAAATTTTGGGTAAAATTCGACTTTTTTTTAAAACGACACCATTTTGTCAATTTTTTATTTTTTATTTTTATCGTAGGTCATTTTACAGACAATATTATCTAGAATTTTTTTTTTGAATTTCATCTACGTAGAAGGCCGGAATCACTGCAGCAGTGAAGGGCCTTTTTTTCTCGCCGTAAAAAATATTTAATTTTTTTCTTCAAAAATTTTACTATGTATTCTTAAAACATGTGTAAATATATTCTTAAAATTTTGAAATGATGATAAAGTTTTTTTTTTAATATAAATTCCCAAAAATCACCTTTTTTTAGGCGATTACACTAGTTGTGCCCCTTAAGTATTTTTACATTTTAACATAATTATCCATTGTGTTTCGAATCAACATACATATGTACCATTGTTTTGTACAAACATTCGCAACGTTTTTGTTGACCCTTACAATTTAGTATTATTTATACTCGTTTGTTTTACACTTTTGCTTGCATTATATTCTTAGAAAATGTATTAACCAAAACATCGGCGTAGACTTTCTAATTCGGATTTTAAAAAGTTTTGCAAGGATCGAAAAAATTATAATTATAATTAGAATTATAAAGTATTCAGATTATTTTACTTTACGTGAGCTTAATTTCTCTAATCATTTAACGAAAGACTTTTTTGTCAGATGCATTCTAACAAAGCGTTCTAACTAACGCACTTCTTTTATTACCAACTTGATTCTATAGCATATATTGGCACGTGTTTATAGTCTTGACGTGCTTTTACTGTTATATTTTAATTCCATAGTGCATGTTAACCTTCAACGGTTTTATTTGGTAACAGGCGGCTGCTAGACTAAACGAAACTGGTGCATTAAAGGGCATGGGCGCAACGCTGTTCAAAACCAGCTGATTATATGATTTATACTTGATTCATTTTATAGCATTCAATAGGATATATACTAAATATTCAATATTAACTTTGTCATATATAGAAGTTTCAATATTATCTTTGAAGCTTCTCATATGAAGCCGAGAAAATATGCGGAAGTGGCTCCTTGATTCAATCACACTTTATGTAGCTACCATGAAAGCTACCAAAAGTTTAACGAGGTTCAATTTAAAAACTTTAAATTAAAAAAAAAAATTAACTCGTTTACCATTTAGAAAATTGAATTATCACATTATTATTAACTTCATTGTTAAATTTAGATTGACTAGAAGTTTTTTCTCAACAAGAACACTTTATATAATATAATGGGTAGTAATGGGTAGTACTGTCCTAGGGCAGGTCCGTGAGCTGAGTTGAACGCCAACTCGATTCAGGGAAAAATAGAGACCGCAAAAATTTCCCATAGTCATTTCACAACGCAGAGCCCCAACTACGCTATTTTCAATTGAAAACATATTTTTCATCTATATTTTCAATATCAGGTCTTCTAGAGGGCGGGCCCGAACTTGCAACCCTGTCCACACAAAGTCTTTAAACCGCCAAGCCATGGAAGCCATATATAAATATAATATATAATACAAAACTAAATGCATATATTAAGAATTACTTCTAATAGTTTTTTTTAAGATAAGTTCTATTTGTGAAATTGTGATTTTCCGATTCAGAAAAAGATAATATAATTACATTTATGTGTTTCATGGTAATTATCATTGATAATTTGAACTTACTTTTATATTCGATTAATATATAATATATATATATATATATATATATATATATATATATATATATATATATTAGCAAACCCGACGAACTCCGTTTCGCCATCAGATCGTTTCATGAGAAAGATAAAGAAATTTTTTGTTTGTTTTATATTTGAAAAGGAAAAATGTGATTTTATTATACAACAGTAATGAATTTATTTCGATTACAAAAATGAAGTGTTTTTTAGTTGAGCTTCTCTAAGTAAATGAAAGTGAATCCGCAAATTATCCGTTTCATTGAAGTGCTCTTTGGTAAACCACATTTTTTGTTTTTTGGTCTGACGTTAACACAAACAAAGCGGATGGTTTTCCAACTCGTCAACAGGCAACGTATAACTGCCCAAAAAACAATGACTTTCTAAATAATCTATTTGAAATTTATCCCGGAAACACTAAGCGATTGGCCTTGCGACTTGTTATTGCGAACGCAAGGCGAACTGGAAATTGCAATCGTTTGAAATCAAACGGAAGACCAGTCGGAATCATTGGTATGTCACCAAATCGCCAGCAATTTTTGATTGAATGGTGAAATTCAGTGCGTGTACATCATTATTCTTTGCGGCAAGAATTGCTCGTTGACTTAACCAAGCATAATTCTGATAATTTTCACTAATGTCATTACTCGAATTTTTATTTACGGTGCGTGAAGTTCCAGCAGCTTGCATGCACAACTAATTTTTTTAGCTATAAACCTTGTGGAGCCCGAGATCTTTCCAACAAATGCAAAATTGTCGAAATCGGTTCGTGCGTTCTGGAGTTATTTCGTCAGGAAGGAACACCCGACTTATTTTTATATATATAGAAGATATAATATATATTAGAGCGAGTCGATTTGTATGGGTCAAAAAAGTCGCTTAGGCACACATGATTTTCGGATACTAAGGATCAAAATAAGATACTTTGCTGAAGAAACAATACCTCTAAAATGAATTCTGATGTCCCATGCAATGACCCAAAAATAAGGATTGAAATTTAAAAAATTCCATTTTGGCCCATTTACAGTGTCCCAATTGCGACCAAATGTATGACCGACCCCCACTAACTTTGGAAAGCCGATTCACCTATGCCCGTGGTACATCCTCTGGGATCTCCCCTGAGCGGTTTTTCAAAATTCAACCCTTATTTTTGAGTCAACGCACGGGACATCAGAATTCATTTCAGAGGTATGGTTTCTTCAGCAAAGTATAATATCTTATTTTGATCTCCAGTATCCGAAAATCATATGTGTCTAAGTGACCTTTAAATCGACGCGCCCTAATATATATATATATATATATATATATATATATATATATAATTATATATAATATATATAAGTATATATATATCTATATATATATATGAATTTGAGGATTATTTATTATTCAGATATATTATTACCTTCGTTCGCAGAGGCACAGCAATTCCTGCGTTGTCCAAAATTCTTTCTTTCCGTTCTTCGGCATTTTTAATAAATCTATTTTGTAGCCAGGCCCAATAATCTGAATGTAAATCTGATAGAGGGCCACATACTACATCTCTGTCTAAACCACAAGGCCGAACAATAATTTCCTCGCTACCGCAGAGGGAGCAGGCGACGCACCTCTGGCCGGCTGCGTTCCAGTAACTGCGACCGTATTCACAACCAGCGGCGTATCGTTTTCTAGCAAGGGGCAACCAGCCATTGGAAATCGTGGAAGAGAATGGTTCTTCTTGATTTAATTGGATGTCATCGAAATTTATTCGTCCAGCGAAGCCTGATTCGGTTGCAGCCGCTGCTAACGGCAGTAGCAGCAGCAGCAACTGAAAAAGACAATAAGTTCATTAAATATAAGACTTAATAACTTAATTAATAACTTTAATTAATAACATATTATAACTTTGTCAGTAAAAAGCAATTCTAACTTATTTTCAACTACAGTAGGACCTCGATTAACCGGACTAATGGTTGTCGATAGGCATTCGGATAATCGAATGTATGAAGGATAATGTTGTGTATTTATTAAAAATAACAAATGCATACATAGATATCAACGGAAATAATATTATTAAGAAATTGAACCTTCTTTATGTATGTACATATAATAACCTGCAGCATTAATCATTCAAAAATTCGAAATGTAGGAATTCCGGATAATCGCAAATCCGTATAACCGACAAGGTTCTACTGTACTATGTTATATAAGATGCTCCAGATCTCAACTTCAAGCCGAAATGGGGTGATAGTATTGACCGCAACCATTAGGAAAACAAATTAGATAAGAAAGTTATGCCATATAGTTTGAAAATTATGAGCTTTTAGGCGAAACCCATAATCTTTGGTAGAACTGTAAACATTTTTTGGTTATTGTGGTTGATATTTATTAAATCTGTTCATTTAAACTTTTTTCTGTAACCATAAAGATGATTTTTAGGACAACAGTTACAAATTAAGACACAATTGCTGCAAGTTTTCAAGAATGAACAATTTTTGATAAACTATGAATTCAAAATTTACATAATTGATCGACTTTGAACTGCTCTGCCTTAAAAATGTACTAAGGTGTATTTTACTTTTTACTTTTACTTTTTTACTCGACGTTTTTTATTATTATATCACGTATTTCATTATCTATACTATCAAGTATTTTACATTTCGATGGAACATTATTGGTGGTATTGATGGTATTTTACATTTTGATGGAACTTGCCAACACACTATAGAACATTTTGTTAAATGAGGGCCACACAAATTTGATCAATTTTGAAAATTTTAAATTCAAAGTTCGAACAAAAAAGTTAATATTTGAAAACTATCGATATTCGATAATTGATTTTTCTATAACTAACACTTATTTGAATTTAAAATCATTTAGCAATATATTCAGTTTAGGTTCCAAGTTTTTCTCTAGCAAACTTGTTCGTGCTATGTTTTTGGTATATAAATCATGTTTGTATATTTTTTTAATGTACATACTGAGTGTAATTGACTCTGAATTTATGCAGCACAAGATTATTTACACATATAATAGTATTATGATACGCTAATTTATAAGTACCTACATATGATCGCAATAATTTTAAATAATTATTGATTTATAATTAATAAATAATAATTAATTTATAATTAATATGTAAATAAATATAGTATATACATGAATGAATAAAATGCTCCTGTCAGCAATATTAGTAAAGTTTTAAGAAAATACCACTTGTTGGTTATTATTATGATTAAAAAAAGATTTTAAGTATATTACAATCTAATTTATTCAAATGAAAATTTATAGCAACAAACTAATGAAGTTAATGTTGGTACTCAATATACTGATTATGAGGTGAAAAATAGAATTTATAGAAATATAAATTAATACCGAAAATTTAGAATATTTATAATCTCCTCATTATTAACTTTATGTATGGTAAGTTATAGTAATACCAAAAAATTGCAATTACGGTGAATGAGTTTTTGAAAGAACTACCGATTTCAAAAAATCAAAAAAACATTTTACTTGTATTGTCAAAATGAAAAACTGGTTAAATTTTTGGGAAGGCAAGTACAGCGGTTTCGGAGATCCAATGGCATTTAGCAGCCAAAAATGATCATTAGACATATGCTGATCGAATTATCAAATATTTTATAGAGATTTTAATACTAAGTACAATTTTTGTTTACACTTCTTTAGGTCCCTTGCCAAGATTTATATTGTTTAAACTTTGGATTGCAACGCCATGCTTATGAGCTTCGAAACCTCTTCTTTAAAATTGCTACGCAGCGCTATTGCTTTGAAAAAAATCTAAATTTTCACAAAAAACATTGAAATATAAAAAAAAACAATTTTTTCAAAAAAAAGTTCATTTTTTAAAAAAATTGGTAAATGTCTATTTTTTTTTAAGTTTTCAAATTTTTTTAATGCTTTTAAAAATTTTAATTTACGGCACAGGAAGTTTCAGCAGGTGCCTTCAGGCTCGATGGCATGCACCTCTAGTTTAAAATTTACAAAACATTTTAAAACATCATATAATGTGTAAGAATGTAAGTATCGAGTCAAGCCACACAGTAATATGCAACAGAGAGATGAAATGTTGAAACTTCATTGTATGCTGCGGCATGTAGTTTTGTTTGCACGTTTCATTTAACAGTGATAAGAGAGGAACGAAGGCGTGTAAGTCACCAAATGAACACCAATCGAATTTAAAAGAATTGCTATCGATTCAATTTACGTATTATCAATTCTCAGTACATCACATTTGTATGCACGTTAAATCAGAAAGCATTCCGAGACATAACGGATTTTGTAATAGGAATTTGATTTCGATAGAAAACTTTAAAGATTTGAATCAACCAATCTTTCTGTATTTGACTTATTCTAACAGTGAAAATAATATATTTCCCTACATCATGTACGAAGTGGGAAAGAAATAAGCTGACCAGAACAAGGCCTGATCAAATAACAAGATAATTTCAATGGCAATTATCTTAATCATGTTACTTAAGTTATCAGTTTAGCTTATAGAACTTACGTACTTTTCTGATTGCTAAAAATAAAGTGTAAAAAAAGAAATAATATATTTAACACCAGGTTCATGGGGACAGTCAATTTGAAGGAATTCGAACTTTGTGATGAAATGCTCAAAAAATCATAGCACTTAATCTTAACTTTAATTAACTTCCCGTAGGGTAAGTTATCGTAATCGTCCAAAAATAAAATTAAATTAGTCGATAATAATAACGAAACCGAAATTTTATGATAGCATAATTGTATATTACATGTCAAAATTGACTGACCTGCACAGTTCTGTATATTTTTCTGCGAAGTATTTTTTTTTTCAAAATTGTTCCAGTATATCTTACATAAATGCAATTATCCATGATCTCATAGATCTCAAGATAATTTGTTTCATGCCGAGTCTAGCCAAACCAAAATTATAAATTTTAAATATAAAATATCCAAAAAAGATATTTGATTTATAAGTCATGGAATAAAATTTATTAAAATTTTATAGTATATAACATAAATGCTTGTAATATCCATAATATTAGTTTTATGCTAAACTCAGTATAACCAAAATTACATAATTTTTAATATTTCTTTTCAAATATCTTTTATTATTTTATCTTATTCTATGTAAATAAATAATATTGTTACATTCTGTATTATGTAATTTTGTGTTACATATGTAATTCATCCATATTGTATATTAATTGTTATCCATAATGTATATTAATTGTATTTTTAAGTCCTCTTGAAAAAAAATCTGCGGGTTATACATTTAAACTAGTCGGGAGGGCATGGCATCGCGCCTTAAGGCAAATTGCTGGAACTTCCCGTATCAAAAATTATTTTTCTGTAAAAGATTAACATTTTTGAAAAAAACATACTCTGAACGAGGAAACTCTAAATTTTTGACAAAAATTTACTTTTTTAGAAAAAAAAAGACTTTGTGAAGAAAAATTTATTTTGAAATATTTTGGAAATTCTGAACTTTTTTCAAAGCAATCATTCTGCTTTAACTGCATAGAGACAAAATATCGAAGCGTCGCCGTCTAACGGATAAACATTGGTACGGAACCTATAGGAATGTAAACAAAATTTATACTTATTGTTAAAATCTCTATAAAATATCTGATAATTCGATGCGCATATATATGTCTAATGATCATTTTTGACCGCCAAATCACATTTTTTAACTTATTTTTATTGAGGGGCCATAATCGCTGGACCTGCCTTCCCAAAAATTTAATCAGTTCTTCATCTTGTTAATACAAGTAAAATGTTTTTCGAATTATTCAAATCGGACGCTCCGTTATCTTAAAACCCGAGTTACCGTTTTTGGCACTTTTAGCCCCATATCTTCGGAACGGCTAGACCTTCGCCGTTCGCCAAAATCTAATCAGCACATCTCGTTATCAATACGAATTGAATATTATTTTAATTATTCAAATCGCTTTATCCGTGTTCCCGAAATCGTCGACGAAAATTTATATCCGCACACACACATGCGCGCACACAAATACACACACACACATACATCAATTTTTTCTAAAGTATACCAAAATATTCAGAAACCTTTGAAACGTAAAGATATATTAAAATTTTCGTTTTCGATTTTTTTGCGATTACTATAACTTGCCCTACGGTAAGTTAAAAACAAATAAATAAATTAATTCGAAAAGGGGTGCAGTATTCGACGTATAATTCATTATAAAACTTATTTCAATTTCATGTAATATAAATATTAAGATTACTGTATATAGATACTAAAATGCAATCATCTCCGATATATTACTCAACATGATTTGAATTTATTTGTAATATGAATATCTTTGGAAAATTAAGTAACTTCTTTGTCGCAAACGACTCATGAAACATAGAATCCGTACAGAAAATGCACTTGAAATCCGAAAATAAATTGGTGCTGTTGTCAGAGCGTGTGCTCTCTGCTACTTCGAACACAAAATATTGTATGTTTATTTTGTATGCTTGATCTTAAAATCCTAAATGCTTGTAAATTGGTCTAAATTCAATACATTCAAAATTATGCGTAAATAGATGTGCAAAATATATGTAAAAATCACGACAGCCAATGTTCCATACTTTATTAAGGCAGCTGCTAAAACTGACAAAGCAGCTCCTTTTTTACAAATATGTTATGGAAGAAATACTTGAAGACGCACTGGAGTTGATGTTGCAATATTTTATTCAGAAAATTGATAAAATTATAAAATATACCAAATTTTTTCTAACCAATTTAAGTAATTCCTTTTATGAAACAAATAAATTATTGAAACCATTGAAATATTTGAGGGATGATAACTCTCTATGAGAGTTAGTAAATACGAAGACCACATCCAAACTCGCGTTTCGGACAACATGATATCAAGCATATAACAAGCATGAAACAGATAACCTTCCCGGAAGATAAAAATATATCACCAAGATTAGATGATATAAATATATCTAATATAAAAATAGATAATTCAAATTTAGATAGAAGCCATTGGGTTGCCTTTTAAAAGAGCCACCTAGTTGAGAAGTATCATCACAGCAGCTCATAAAAACTCATAAGATCTGATTACTATTCAAAAACAAATAAAAAACTACACCTAGGGATCGCATCTGGAAATAGTGTGCGGAATCTCAAGGACATTGTATAGCTACGACTAACTATTTATAAGTAAAATAGGGTTTAAAATTAATTAGAAATGAATTGTTCTGTAATTCTCTTTTTCTTTAAGACAATTGTCCATACAGTCAAAGACTATAATTGATACGATTTTATTTTTTTATCGTAATGAGGAGTCCATTAATCACGTGAGGTTTTTAGGGAGAGGGGGGGTTTGACAAAAAATCACGAAATATCACGTGGGGGAGGGAGGTGTATAGCAAGATATGACGTGTATTTATTTTTTTTACTATTTTTTATAAAAAAGTTCAAACATTTTCAAAAAAAGAAATTTTACAGTTTTTTCACATAACTGAAAATACACGTGATGTTTGGTGGGGGTGGGGGTAATTTTGAAAATCACCAAATATCGCAAAGGGGGAGGGTGGTCTAAAAATCCTTAAAAACTCGCTCACGTGATTAATGGACGCCCCCTAATTGTTAGAATATCGTATATTTTTGTTAGTAACTTCCAGTAGGGTAAGTTATTGTAATCGTCCAAAAATCGAAATTGAAATTTTTTGCATTTCTTCACGTTTTGAAGACTTCTGAACATTTTAGCATACCTTAGAAAAATTTGATGTGTGTATCAATCATGTATGTATGAATTTTTTGTCCACGTTTTCAAGCGCATGTATCAACTGATTTAAATGGTTTAAAAACATTCGATTCCTATTCATAGGAAGATGTGCTGATTAGTTTTTTTTTTTGTTTTTTTTTATATATATTTTTTAACAGCAATCAGAACCTTATGTCCTATGAGCTGTTGGGCTGAAACTTCTTCTTACTTCGTATTTTTAGATGGTAACCCAATGGTTCCCCATCCATATTTGATGATTTTTTGTTATTAGATTTAATCTAATAGGGCTGACTTTTTATTGGTGCAGCAATGCCGGGCAAGGGCTATTTTCACTTGGAAACATATGATTAGTTTTTGGCAAAGGCAGGTCCAGTCATTTCGGAGATACGGAGCAAAAAGTGCAGAAAATAGAAATCGAGTTTTTGAGAGAACAGAGCATTCGGTTTGAATAATCCAAAAAAAACTTTCTGCTTGTTTTGACAGAATAATATCTTCTGGAAAAAAAAATTACAAATTTCTGGCTAAAGTTCAAAAGCCCACTTATATACTTTAAAGAATAATTTTAACTTTATCATATTATTTTATTTATCAAAATAAAACATAGAATTTAAAAAATCTTCCAAGATAAAATCATTAATAACTGTTTTATAAGGTAAATATATATTTCGCATTATGTGTTTAGATATCTATATACAAGTGTTGTACAGCAAAATACTTTTGAAGACTATAAAGTTATACACTTTGATAAGCATAAATATATAAACATCGAATTAATTAAAAAAAATTGAAGAGTTCTAAAGAAGTCTAATTCATTAACATTGTATAATGTATTGCGTTTTTTTCCTTCCCAAAGAAGTTTATGTTATAATCAAAAAATCCGATTCGCTAATTTTATGTTTTCTCGACGTTTCAAGCCATTCTGAATCGAATGAGACCAAATTTGCAAAAAGTATGTGATTTTGAGTTTTTTTCGACGCTTTCTCACAAACGGCTGGACCGATTTCAAATATTCAAAAGCCATTCGATATAACTCGATAAGGACTTGCGTTTGTCAGTTTTGAAAAAAATTTCATCCACGTTTTAGCCCGAAATCCTGAATCGATTGCAAAAGTTCAAAAACTGTTCAAAAGATATTGGTTGGAAATCGACCTGATTAGTTTAAGATCGGCCGGGCCGTTTTCTTGTAATCAACAGTTGAAAAAGAAATTTTTATGAAACTTTTTTTGGCGATAGTTATCATGGTCTTATAGAACATACTTAAATATTACGGTCTTACCACAAGCCGGTCAGTTTTAAAAATTCATCAAGGTTTGGACAAATCAGTAGCATTATTTTGGCGGTAAAGTTAATTAAAATTATACAAATTAATTAAAATTTGTAATGATAAGCTACAAATTTTAGGACATTAAAGCACACGTGTCTGTGCGCTATAATTAATATAATTACAGATAATTTAAATTTGTTTGAGAGATATCAATTGGAAATATTGTTTTTTTCGGAAAGTAACTTCGTTTTTTATAGACTTTTTGGCACGTAATTTTCGTACAATGAACAATTTTTTAATTACTTTAATGTATTATGTTTTGGCAGTTTTGTTCGAACATATTTTGTCATATTTTTGTATTAGCATAATTCCGAAATCATAAATGTTTTGGTCGTTATTGGCAAACAACTGAACAAAGTGCTTTTTGACAGGCTGATTTGAGGTAAAGGTTTTACCACCTAAAAATTTTTTTAGTGGCCGGAACAAATAATGATCCGATGATGACAAGTCTGAAGAATATGATAAATGTGTAATTGGGTCTCATTCAAGCTTCAAAAGCTTTTGGCGATTGACCCAACTTATATGAGGTCTTTTGCGTCGTCTTGATGCAGGACTATACCTTACTGTGGGTTAATTCTGACCTTTTCTATTAAAGTATATCATTTAGCTTATCCAGCTGATAACATAAGGCATCCGAATTAACCGTTTTGTTATCCTGGAACGCCTGAAAAATGAACAACTCCTTTAAAATCTCACCAAACATACTTCATCACCTTTTTTGGCGAATTTCTGCTTTGCAACTGTTTTGAGCAAGTTCTTCATTTTTGTTTAATGGGCAATTGCGTATATTGTATTCTTTACATCCCATTTAAAATTCCTAGTGACAATTCGCTTCAAAACCTGATAATTCTCAAGACTTTTCAGAGGCAAATCGCAGACGCCAGTGCGACGACACACGTTTCTTTCTATGAGAACCATACATTAAGTTTCGAGGAGTTCCCAGACCTTTTGATAGTGATGAATTGTTAAATTTGATAAATTTTTACTTAATGGGATCTCATGTATTGTTATTCGTCGGTTTGCATCAACTAATGCCTTTCTCGAGTCTTTATCAGCTTCAACCGTACTTGTTGGACTTGGTGCATCTTGGACATCAAAATACCAGAAATGAATTTAGCAAACCAATTTGGCACTGTGTACTATCAACATGTCATTTCCGTACGCATCGATCAATTTCATTTTGCCTTAAATTTTTGCCTTTCTTTAGCAAAAATAAAATAGTGAAAAATGCTGCTTAATTTTCATATTCAAAGTGGCACCATCCAAAAACTAATGCATGTAATTGATTAAAACTAGGGTTTGTCAGTTTTCAAAAACCGGTTTTAAAAACCGTTTTTTTGCGAAAATTATGGAATTCGAAAACCGTTTTTTTAGCGAAAAAAGTCGGTATTTACTGTATATGTGGAAAATGACAAATATAACCAAATATAAAATATAGATGAAAGTGTTTTGATTCTTGAAATCATATCGGTTCAATAGCATTTCATATCTTATCAATCTGCAATGGTTCAATAATGGTTTTGTATATATTAAATTAGATTTTTATACCAGTTAATATTAATTTAAATCAGTGTGACTTCTTCTTGAAGAAGTAACTTCCTCTGCTCTAACTAGAAAAAAGAGTTTTAAACCCTAGAAGCCACAAAGAATAAAAAACTTAGGCTTTAAAACTATATCAGGCTTTAAAAACAATTAAGCATAATTTGGTCGCAAGTATGAAAGTATTTTCTATTTCAGGAAATTTTGTGAGTAAACAAAGGACACGTCTAAGTAGCAATTCGATAGACGTTCTCAGTTTTTTGAAATCATATTTTATTAAACAAAAAAAACAATTAGAATGTTTAAAATTAATTAATTAAAATTGCTCGGAACAGACAATACCCGAGTTTAACTTATAATTGATATCAACAAGTATGTATCAACATGTATCTAATATTTTTTTATTTTATTTTAATTAATGATTTTTTTTTTATTTAAAAATGTATTATTTTTATTTATTTGAAAAATTCCTTTCACTATCATAAAATATTTTCATTCTTATATGTGAAATGATGCATGAATAACGAATAATTATTTTCAAAGTTATTTAATCAAGATAAACCATTATTTTTTAGTTCTACTAATTAAAATTAAATAATTTTGTTTACTATCTATAAAATTGAACAATAAATAAATTCAGTCAAATACTGCTCTAAATTACATAAATTTGCGGATAAATTACAGAATATTCGAACAAAAATTTATTTTTTAATAAAATCGAAAACCGGTTAAAACCGGTTTTTTAGTAAAATTAAACTTCGAAAACCGGTTTTCAATGAAATGTCGGTTTTTGTTGTATAAACCCCAATTAAAACCTTTTAAA